TTCTGCATCATAATGTTTACACCATGTTTCGTGAATATCGGTTAAATAAGTAAAACGTAAAAGCGGAGAGATGCACAAACACTCAGAAAGCACGCTAATCTGAAAAGCTTACTTGCTTCCTCATGGAACGAATGTAGACTAACACGGATATTAAATATCTTTCTTGCTTGAAGTAAACCTCTTATAAGAAATATTATATCTTATGCACAAATGCAAAATGTGTTGCGTGTAGAGACGCTCAGAGCGTCTCTTTAGGCTGACTTTCTTATGCTTATTTGGAAAAGATTTAAACTTACTATGCTAGATAAACTAACATTTGTCTACACCCACTCAAAATAAATGCATCAAATGCATACTGCTTGTTTTGATTCTCAGAATAGACAACAGAAGTCATCTGAAGATTATCAGTATAAAATTGTAACGGTTATGTGGTGTATCTTCTTGGAGAAACAACCACGATTCAAAAATTTATTTGGACAAATTTAGTAATTTAAAAGTCAATTTTTAATCAGGCTCAAGTCGCCCTGTAGTAAGAAGAAGTCTTACATGAGTTTCGCCACTATTCTACAAGGTACTGTTTCTTTCTGTACCTTCGCCGATTTTTCCAGAATTTTATGTACGGTCATCATTTCTCTTTACATTCTGCAAATAACGGTAGAACAGCTACAGCGATGTTTATTTGCTAGCCTTGTGCATAAAGTCAGATGAACACAAAATCGTAAAATTTAACTACGCTTAATATGCACATACACTTGGTAGAGTTTAATTATTCATATCGCTAATCCTAAAATATCTAACCTATACAAACAGAAACTAAAAGGTACATAGATATAGATCCTATTACCTCAGAAGGCTATTGGGGAGATATGTTTTATTGTTAGGGCGACGGTATAAGCCGATTCAAGTTCTGAAAAGCATATGTAATCGTATCATTACAAGTCTATTACAATATCGCCTTTTCAGTCAACGCTGCGTTATTCTGTGAGTGAATGAAAAAACATGTACATGTACAGTGATTTAAGTTCTCTGTCCGGCATTTTCGAAACTTCGAAGAATATCGCTGTCTTTTTGATTTGATTCAAGTCAACTGGTAGTAATTTTGGCAAGAAAGGCTTAAAACACGAATAGGAAACAGTACTGCTCACTGCCCATTGATACTGATCTTTAAATAAAAATTGAAGATATTAATTAAGTCTAAATATCATGATCTGTATCAATTTTGTGTCATTATAGTCGTTATGACAACATTTATAAGAGTATTTCGGCTACTTTAATGCACTTACAATGTACGATTCGCCCAAGAATGGCTTATGCGGACAGTCAACATCTAGATTAATCGAAATCTTTAGCAGTTTTTGAGCTAAAATACTACCGACACTTTATGTAGTCATTTTATATATTTAATTTTAAACTAGCAAATGCATTAAAATTCATCTCTTATATGTTGGTATGGGCTACCTATTTGTTATTTATGTCCATTTGCAGCTATACACAGACAACAGAATATTAAAAATACCTGTTCCATATCAACATTTTGTAAGCGTATGTGAAAGCTAACAGACAAAAATTGCAATATCTGACAGACAACAAGTAAAGAACGAGAAAGGTTACAAACAATGAAAGTTTGGACATTAATGGTAATATAATAATAATAATAATAATAAGCTGTCATAAAATAAAATTATAAAATTATATAATATATGTGGCACTTGCTAAAAACAATATGTATCCCGGAAATAGCTGCTGCCCTATATACCTTGGGGACAAAGTCTGTCTATAAAATGGCGAATACATGGGATAATAATAATAAGCAGAATAAGAATAAGAATCTGTGATGTGTTCCGCAGTGTTCAACTGAATTGTCAAATAACAGAGGTCAACAAAATAAATATTTAGTAAATTTCTCAAATGGCATATTGATTATTTATATACCTATATAAAGACCCTTATTAACATATTGCGACGATAATCTTGTCTTAACGCTCCTGCGAAAGCTCGAATAGCCCAATCATTCCCGAGACGTATCTAGTGTCTCATTTTGCTATGTGTACGGTTAGGATATTCAGAAGCAAGAATAGGCTTCTAAAAATCTCAGTCCACGACTTTTTCAATACAGTATTCGAAAACAGAGCTTCGGAACTTCGTTTATCAATATCTGAGAAAACATGAAAAAGAAGACCTTAACAGCAACAAATAACAGTTCTTCGCTGGCGGAAAGCTGGTTGCTCCGTAGTTTCCGTATTCTGTTCTTTGCCTGTACCGGTAATTGGGAAGTTCTGTTAGGATGACGAGTAGAAGACCTGATTTCGTTGTTTGACTGTCTTCAGGGCGACGTGCGTGTGATTCACGCTCGGGCGTGGACTCATAAGTTCACACAAAGGGGACTTCCCCCTCTCCGACCTACACCAACACCTTTCAGACTATGGCTCTACAAGAAAGATGATGATGAAGTAAAAATGACATGTCCATTCCACTTTCGTCATTCATCTGCCTGTCGTCAAACGGCGCTCCGATCGAATTACGACCGATGTTTTAATTACGCAAACAAAAGAACTCCGTGCTTCAGGAAATTTCTTGACAAGATGGTCAAGAAATTTCCTGCTTTTGTGGAAATCAGATGTTCGTCACAATACTTACAAAAGCCTGAAAATTCAAAACTATTTCAAGCCAACCAAACTCACTACTCAATGTCTACATACGACTACTTCCTGCCTGTGTTTGCGATGTGTATATGACGTCTCTTAAAAAGCAGCACAGATTTCCAAGTAAACATTCACCAGTTTTATGAACTTTTAAATCTCCTTATATAGTATTTTCTTACAACCAAGTAACATTATCATATTTTATGACAGAATAAAACGATCAACCGCAATAAAATTTTAAAATAATCTTCTGGAACTGTCGTATCCAATACATAAATTCTTCTCAAAGTTTCTTTTTCTTTTATTGGCATCACACACCTTTCATTGTTAAAACCACAATTTTCGACTGGCTAAATAGGCCAAATACAAATAATTTAATAATGTGAACAGACTCGAGGAAAAATCTTCATTTTATTGCTCATTAAATTGCCACTCTAGTTAGCGACTGAACATAACCAGTATGCGGTAGTTTCATGTTAGTTCATTCACAGAACTGAATGACCATTTTACCATAAAATTATTTCAGTACACTACGTTAATGTAAAGCTCGCTTTTCTAAAGTTCTCATCTATTTCTGTTTATAATTTTTGTTATAGGCCCTACTACTTTACGAATTTCAGCAGTACCATATGCATACGCAAACTTCTCTACAGCTTAAGATTTCACGATATGAGGGGGTTCCAAAAATGTTTTAATATTAAATTTAATCTATTATTCAAATACGGTTTATCTTAGCTTCGAACAGCTATCTTTATTAATCAGTGCTAGAAAAATGCTTTAATTTACACCAGGTTCATGTTTATGTTTCAATATTCCCTTAACTCAAAATAATAAATACAAATTTCGATTTTAGAATTTTTGGGGCCTCGTAAACTTGACATATCTTAGGGACTCAGGAGGTCGATATTCGGTACTGGTTTTCGGATATCACCCAAGATTTCGCAAGATGGTCTTTGTTTTTATTTGTGATTTACAGTAGTTATAGTAATCTTACATCTTAACAGTCAATCCAGCATTACTGTCGTCTGTTATATCACGTACTGTCCTGCAGAGTTCTCTAGTTTCAACTCACTTTCAAGTAGCAGATGACTGTCGACGCCGGAAACTTTATTAATAGCAGAAGGCAAACCGAGTTATAGGTGAAAGGTGGGACGAGAGATGGCAACAGCTTCATATATATGTGCCTGGCTTTGGAGTAAGGATAATAAACACCTGTCTCTCACTCTCTCTGTCACTCTGGTGATGTCATTGACAGGATGAAGGGAGAAGATGATCCCTAAACCATCCAGTCTACTACCAGTAGGGGTAAAAGAACATGACGCACAACAGCCATATTTTTTCGAAATTTTATCCGTATTGTCACTTGCCGTCCGTCCTCTCTGCCCCTTTTCCATCGTTCCCACAACTTCTATTCCCTACAGCTGATGTCATTCAAGTTGGCTAGGAATGTCACAGCGGTTGCAACTGCTTTAAATTTAGGATACATTGGACTCATGAAGTGCAAAAAGGTTTAAACTGACCTCGGCCAGGAAGTGTGGATTCATATGAGGAATTTTAAGACTTTGTACTCAGGCCCAACAGTATTTTGAATACACAATGGTAAACACTAACCTCACTACACGGATTCGCAACTTTTAAAACCATGTCAACATTTTCACCGTTTTAAGAAACTTGAATCTCAATTAATTTAGTTCTTCTTTCACTTCGGACTCACGGCCGTGGAAACCTCAAATCCTACTGAAGTGAAATTTTTCAGAATAAAACAATTAAAATTATTTCTTGAGTTAATTGGATGGACAGAATCACCTAAATTGTATTAAAATCAGACAGTTAAATTTCTGTATTTTTATCGCTTGAGGTGATCAAGTATTTGATATCCCTGCAATGTTAATTTCTGAATTTTAAAGTACATTTTCTCATAATCAATTAACACTTTAAAGCCCGGTAGCAATTATATGCAGGGCCTTTGTGGGCATAATATGATTTTTAGTCTAAACAGAAATTATTTCTTGAAACAGCATTAACCATTTGATACTTGTAATGAAGAAGTTGTTTTCTTTGCTGAGTGGACTGAATTCTTAAATATCATTCAGATGAGCTTCTATTTTAAATATTAAGTCTTGCAGAAACTTTTCAATAAAAATAATTCTTAATTAAATAGAATTTGTCCTTATATGCTTTTAAAATTTTACTATTTTTTTATATCTTTACATTATACATTTTCAAAACAAGAGTTGAAACAATGCTTTTTTAAAATGTGTGAGACACATGAAAATAAATAAGAAGACTCGAAAGCTTTTTGTCTAAAGGAAGCTGAGAGAAGATAGATACATTTTATAACAAAATAGTGCAACTTACATGAATTGAACTCCAATGCTGAAGGTAGTGTTCATGCACCTCTGCTCCATATGAGATGTCATCAGAGTCTTCTTATTAATCATCTTGCACCATTTTATTCTCACAATTCCTCTGTTGTTTGGCACTTATTTCTAAGTCTTTTAACACTTTTCTGCATTTCTTGCATACTTTTCTGATCCAAGGAGAATATTGTTCTTAAAATGTGAGAATCGGTTTTGATCCCCAGTCTTTACACTATATCTACACTTCATGCAGTTTCTCTGATATTAAGTTATAACAGCACCAGCATATGATTTGTTGATACCCACAACCACTGTATCTGGAATTCTGGCACATAAAAAACTGTTGACATTAATTTAATTGATAACTCTTTTTGGCACAGGCAATTTGTTCTCAGATGTATGAATATAATGTAATATAATTCTGAAAATATATCAATTTCTTGTGTTGTACATGGTGGTAATCCATGTCTGTGATTATATTGTGAGCTTATATTACTTCAGTTTTCTTTCTATTGTTGTATTAACATTAGTTCACTTGTTCACAATACTACGAAAATTTTATAACCTGCTATGCCCTTACCAACTAACTGTAGGTATCATATACTGACATGATATTAACAAAATAAGCTATTACTGTTTACATGTTGTTCCTTAATTTTGCCTTAGACTATATGCAAAGTATTTACATTTCAATTCCAGTTCAGCAGCATGTTATTCGCTCAAAGAGGCATCCACTTTTGCCACACTATTTTTATGGTACAATATTCTGAAGTACGCCAGCCAGTATTTTCATGACGCTAATTATATTTACTTCATTTCCACCTCAGCGTTCTAGCAATTTATTCTAATTTCCTTCATAACCTTTCACCTTTGCTGTAAATAACGTATGTAGCTGTGTTCGTTGAAGTTTAAATAATTGTGTTTGTTTCAAGGTTAAGGTCAATGATTAGGCCGCGACTTTGTGTATCCAGCGTATATTATTATCATAGCCTTTCCTGTGTTTCTCTTTCATTAAACACTTTACTACAACTTTTGAGCATTGCTGGGAATTTTGAACACTGACACTAGACTAAAATTTCACTACAACACAAACCACTTTCACACGCGCACCTTTAAAAACTGCACAGTCACGCACAGAAAAAGAGCAAAATGGAAGCTTGCATGTACAGGTTCGCCACTAAACTAAATTCCCTAAATGTAGTGAAAAACCCATTATGAAGCGGTATGTTTAAAAATAATTTTATAGGTGGAAGTGACATATGGGCTATAAATAAGCCCGGATTGCGCCATTGAATTATACATTTTTAAATTTATTTACTTGCCACCACTCACAAACAAGATAATACAATATACCTCATCTATAAGATACAAGTATATAGTTAAAAGCTGCACAATACGTAATAAATCACACCTTCGTGATAGTTTCCAACTGGGACCACTTTAATAAAATAACTAACCCTAACTAATACCGATATTCCTGATATAGTCTTGAACTTTCTCAGCTAGTGAAAACATTCAACGTCTGTTAAGGAGCCTGAGAATTATTACTGTGTTCTCAGGAGTCGACTACTGTTCCCTATGCTAAGTCAAACTAATTCAGTCCGCACACTCATATACAGTTTTCCAAGATACATTTTAATATTATCATCCATCTACGCTTAGATCACTCAAGTAGTCTCTTTTTTTCAGATTTCGCGACTAAAATTTTGTGTGTATTTCTCATCTCTATCATGCATGATACATACTGCACCCATCTCGTCCTTCATTGTTTCATGACGCTTATAATATTTGGTAAAAAGTGGAAACTGTGAAGGTAGTCATCTTGCTTTCTTCAACCTCGTTTCGCTCCACGCTTTGAAGTATAAATAAATTAATTTCCTCTGCACCCTATTCTGAAACACATTCAATTTAAGTTTTCCTCTTAATGTAAAATACCAAGTTTCGTACCTATACAAAGCATCAGGTAAAATTACAGTTTTATATATTTCATTATTTACGTTTTCAGATGGGAGGCGTACAGATAAATTCTGAATTCAATGGTAACGAGTATACCAGAATTAAAAACGTTATTATTTCTCTCGGTTGCGTACTTTTTTGTTTCTTGTGTCATTTCCAAATACGGCTCTTAGAATTCGGCAAAATTTTCTTTATATTAAGTTTTTATATTACATACTAGTAACAGACATTACCATATAGGCCTTCTATTATTTCTTGGGTGTATTTGTAGAGTAACATCCTTACTTCAGTTTAAATATAATTTATGTATTTTTCTTTTCGCACATAAATACCTTATGTCTCTAGATCATTCTGATGCAATGTGTACAGTAAAACCATCAATATTACTACACAGCAATCTATTTTATTTCCACAAACCCAAATTCTTTCTACTTTTTGTGGGCCATCATCAGAGTATACTTAATATTTTAACGTAATAACCAAGGTTAACACATAGTATCCTTCCTGTATAATACTATCTATCTTAAAATGATGCAGCTTACTCATAAAATTACTGGACTACATACAAAATTCTATATCATGACGTGTTTTAATTAACCGAAAATGTCGTTTAAGTTTCACCATAGTATTGTCGGTAATCCGTAATTCGCTTGGCTACTCAAAAATCTTTTTAAATTGTTTTGTCAAGATGTCATATCCACGTAAATATTTTGGAGTTTTTTTCTTTTTTTGGGAGCATATATTTGTTTTATTGCTAGGGTAGCACCATTACAAATTAGAACAATATCACACATTAAATTAGCAGTTCACGATGCACTTAGTAATTAACATCGTGTTATTAACAGTGTTTAATGAACCGCTTTTTGGTTGTTAATGTGTTATTTATCTGCTCCGCGATATGATATGTTTCTAATCTTTTATCTATTGTGGTTTACGTTATACTGAAGCTATTTTCGACAAGTTCAACATGGAAAAAATATGTACAAGTAATAAGTGATTCCATACAAAATCATAATAATAACAATTTTACAATTTGCAGTTGTAAGGTGTAAATTTCAAACAAGACTTTGTAAACATTCAATGACATTCTCTGTATGAGCATTTTACTTTACATGCTTTTCTGCGTGCAAATTGTAAATTGACGTCAATATGGTGTATTTTATTGGTTGTTATTAAAACAAAATAATCCCATGACATAATAATATGGCGTGAGAAAACGATCACATTAAACGTTCATGAAAAACAACATGAGAAAGATTTTATGATCAACATATTTGCTTCTGTGTACGTCAACGAATACTCTGGTGCACAGAAAAAATTTTGTTGTACTTTTTATTAAGTTACAGATAATTTATTTTTTGTGTATAATTTTGTTTCTATTTTGTGTTTGCCTGTATTTGGCTGTTATATTTAATATTGTACATGTATATGTTTAGTTAATCTGTGTAATGTTTTAAATTATTATTTTTTTATTATTGTATGTATTACCAGTGTTTGCCTGTTATTGGCTTCTTGCTGTTGGCAAACACTTAAATAAATGAATTGAATTGAATACACCATTTTGGCTCATAAAACACTAGGAAGGCTTACGAAGTTTTAGTTAAATGAAGAGATTATAGACCGATGCTTAGAAGTTATAATAAAATTATATGTTAAAACGTTTCAAATTAATTAAAATGGTTAAATAGTTAAAATTATAAGAAGTTTTAAAAAAAGAATTTTTTCACAGCTTGGTGAGTCCGATGTTTTAACATGTAAACAGAAATTTTTAAGTTAATATATGTGATACGTAACACACTGGAATGCTACACTGCAGACCTAGAGTAAATAACGTTAAACCACCTGTGGTATAGAATACTCTGACAAGTATCCGCTCTTCTGATATACAGTAAACCAGAGACACGTCGTTTGAGTCAAATCCTCTGTGGAGTTCATTGCACAAACTCGGCTCCAGGCCACTGCTAAGTACGTCTGTCACATTACATGTAAACCAGAAATGTAATTTAGTAATTGCGTACCGAGAATGTATATGTACGACTACACGTACTAGTACACGTGTCTGATGCAGTATACAATCCCTTGTAACATGACGTATTCTAATTTCCCAATCAAATTATCAAATTATAACACTGTTTGAAGATTACCGTCTAGGCTCAGATGCATGTATGTATCTCGCACCAGCGTGCCTAACTTCTCTTACTAATGAATTAATAAACAAAGGACAAGTTATTCGTCTCGTGTCTCTGTCTCTTCCTCACTACGCCACTTTCAAACTAGCGCTGCCTTCGTTTCTTCGTGTCGCTTCACCGCCATGTATGACGCCCACAGGCAAATGTGTCTGCGTGCACGAAACACCTAGATTTAATTACACTAAAAGTTATGCGTTGCACGTTCAGTGTGAAACAGGTTACATAATAATATCAAATTCAATAAGCGTGTTTGAGGACTGCGCTATCGAGATGCGCGGGATAATTAGAAATGATTTGTGGTGATTGTAAGAATTATAATGCAACCCATTAATTAACTTGCTAAATGGAAAAAAAGTTATCCTTCAAAAGCTAATAGTCACTCAGGTAACTAAATTGTTCGAAAACCTAAAATACATCACAAAACCTGGTGTCGTTTTTTAATATTTTTGTTTTCTTAAAATAAGCGTTTAGCTTTACCTGTGAAACAAGTTAAATAATTGTACTTTTTACACAAGGCACATATCAGATACGTTACGTATTGAAAAACTGGATGGTGTGGTATCTACGTTTACTATGGCCTTCTAAACTTTGTTATATTTCTGGTTTTCACATCGGCTGTCTTCTTTGATTTTGAGCTAAGGTTGAAGTTTACTGACGTTTTAAATGTTTTATCAAAGCGATAGCCAGCAACTGTGAAATGCCACTGTTATTATCAGACTACAAAGCGTAACAATTCAGAAGACAGCCATCTTCTTCTAAATCTTAGTATCATATACATATAGAAGAGCCTCTAGGAATGTTTAAGTCGCCATGCCGATTTTACGTGTTAAATTACAGTAGTTTATCAGACCATTAATTCGCGATTTAAATGTTAGCATTCAGTTCTTGCATAAGATGGTGTGATTTTATAGATTCATTAGCATATAACCTTTCAAGATCTACACTGAAGATTGGTTGTAGTATTTGCTCCTCAGTTTCACAGTGCTATAGTATTGGAGTCGCTGGAGATAAATCAGAATGTCTGTTGTAAAAACGGTGAAAAAATTTAGGGTTTTATAACAGCCGAAAATATCTTGACCACTACAATTTTTCTAAGGGAGACTGTTTATTTAGTCGAAACAAGGCTCAAGTTAAATTGACAGATGTCTTGATACTGAACCTTGCAGTGGAGAATAGCTGAAATGGAATTATTTAAAAATAGCTCTTCTACCTCAACATCGCTATAACAAGTGCACCGCGCACCTCTCTCACTAATGAAACCTAATTTCTACATAGTTATTGAGATAAATACGCTTAGAAAACTAGACTCAAGGAACATAGGCCTATTGTGTGTTTATTTATTTATTTATTTATGACGTTCAGATTCAGAAAAAATCTGTAAACTCATTTTTCCCTACCTTAAGTACGAACTTAATAAGTTACATGAGCCAAAAGCTTGCCTTTGCAGTTTTTGTAAGTCTGCACACAAATCAGAACATTCTATTCTAGAACTGTATCTCTCGCCTCTCCATTTATCTTTCACATTCTATTCTCTTCATTACATGTTTATTAATTTATTTTCTTTTTATCTTTGCTATGCCAAGATTAAAACAGTTTTATACGACAAGATTTTCTATTATCAGCGTACATCTTTCTTCACATCTTCCGTTTTTGTTTTTTGTTTTATTTATGTTTTATTTTACTCTGTTCCTCCTTCTACTTTGTTACTCTTCTTCATTTCTGGATTTTCTGCTTTGCCAAGGCCTTGCAGACTTTTCTACCTGTCTCTTATATGATAGCTACGTGATTCAAGTTCAGAATCACCCCTGCCAGTGGGAAGGGGTTGAAGGATGGGTGTAAGAGCATTTTCTTTACCAACACACTCACAAATACACATGTGGGCAGACACCGAGTTAGCCCATCTACTGAAACAACAGCGAGACAGAACCGAAAAACCCAAACACGTCTCAGCCTCAAAATTGGCTTCCTGCGTCAGCTACAGAACAGACGTGT